AAAAAGTTGGTAGAGATAATGAAATCCAACATATCCAACCTTGTCTATTTCTGCCAATGCACAACTAATAGCAATAAGTTAATACACTTAACTTCAGTAAGATGTATTAAGCCATCTGATGGACTTTGGCATGCATGTCGCATTAGTAAACAGACTTTGGGCATGGGAAATAGTCTATTACACAGAATATACCGGCTGAAGTACTTGAACCTTTCGTCCACATTGTAGAGTATATCGCTTGATGTGTTCTTTAGGTGTTTTGTCTCAGCTCCGATAGAAGTGTGCTGTCATGTGTGGTGACTGCAGTGATAGGGTTTAATGACTTGCCCCTATATTATTCCTTTTGTAGGAACTATGTGTTGAATTTTTTTATATTTATCAGTTTAACTTTGTTTTTGTAATATGAATACTTGACTTTCATACTGTCTTCATATGTAAAATAATATATAGCTGCAATGCCAACATTTGTTTAGTAATCAATGTGAATAACGTGTGATTATTATCTATTTAATTAATATTATGAGTTTAATTTTATTCAAATTTATGTACACAAAATCGCTGTTTTTGTTAGAGTTTTTTTTCTTCTTAGAAATGACATTGGTTTTTTTATAGTTATAAAATAGCTTTCTGTGTTTTTGAAATGTGGGATATTATAAAATTATTTATGTTTTATACACCAACATGCTATCTAATGGGGATATCAAACCAAAAATGATTCATAACAAGAATAAACTTACCACAATAACAATTGGTTTACTCAAACCGGGAGTGGTAACTCTATTTGATTTTCTCTCACAAAATGTTTTGTACTGTTTCAAACCTTTTCTTAATCATCAGAACCTGTTTTTCTCCTTTGTTTTTTTTAAATTTATATATTTTTTTAGAACTGTTTTTACCCAATGCAGAGAGTTGAGAGCTCCTTTTTCAACGGCTAAGGTTAAGAATAAAGTTGAAAGAACTCGGCCTAGTTAAGAACGCACCACAACCAATTTCAGTCTTAATACTTTTTATCGAAAATCAAAGCTTTGTTAAGGACTCCCGTGTGTATTCTTCAGACCTAGGGTTTTCCTCTCCTGTGAGTAGAAATCTCAGCTTGCATAGGGATTTACTTAACACATCCTAAATTTCAACTAATTCAGTTCCAAAGTATGTAGGTGAAGGCCCTCCACATTTTTATTTTTATTATTATTTTTATTGCTGATTATTGGTGGCTAACAATAGTCATTTGATTTATTTCAGCAAAAATAGTACAAAAATTGAAAGAAGAACTTTGTAAAGTTATAATTGTATTTGTAAAGTAACAATTAACTACCAAGATTTTAAAAATATAATAAAAAATTATGTTGTAAATATTAAAGAAAGTAAAGTAATTCCTGTTACACAGGAAGGCATAATGTCAGCAACTAGTTGGGTGGACACAGCCTTGGTCTATGCTGAGATTTGATCCCAGAACCACTGAAACTCTAACCACTTGTGACTCTCTTTACTTTTCCTTAAGTCAATTTAATTTTTTTTTATTGATCTTGGCAATTATGTTAGATTTGTTACTATTTTTCTGACGTTCTCATTAAATTTTTATCATTCCTTGTCACTTACTTTATATTTGTTTATATATTTATGTTGTTTAATTAAATTTTTATCATTCCTTACCACTTCCTTTATATTTGTTTATACATTTCTGTTGTTTAATTATATTTTTAGCATTCATTCTCATTTCCTTTATATTTATTTATATATTTCTGCTGTTTAATTAAATTTTTATTATTCCTTCTCCTTTATATTTTTATGCACATATATATTATACTTACTACATAAGTATAGTACTACATACTAAATACTTACAATATTTTATTTATGTTTGTTCCAAATAATCATTGGCTAACGGTCACTAAACACCACACATAAATAATAAAGTTAACAAATGGTTATTCTTAACTATCACAGACAACAATGACAATTTTAGGATTTTTAAAAATACAAAATGCAAACGAAAAAACAAATATAAATAAAAACAGTTTCACCTTAGAAAAAAGTAAAAAAAGTAAAATTGCTAGCAAAAATCCTGTTTTTGGAACAACAAAAATTAAAATAGGTATTTGAAAAAAAGGCATTGTTTACAGATAGCATTAATCCATAGATGTCCCACCTGAATGTTGATTTTGATAAGTTTTAACTAAACTAACATCATCAAGTTCAAGTTTAAAAAGCCTGGAAAAACTTTTACTTTTATCACATTTTTTAAAAGAATGGATCCAATGCACAACATTTATTTTTAATTTTCTTAAGCAGTTTTAAGTGTTTGCACTCTAATCACAAAATACCACATGCAAATATAAAATGGTACATGTGGATATGGACTAAAGTGGATGGATTTGTCAACTCTGATAATAACTATCTTTAAAAAAAGGCAAAGATCTTTAAATTAAAAAAAGAATCAAAATAAAACAAATCTATGAACACAGAATATCAAATTATGATCGAGTAATTAACTGCAGTTTTGATACCAATTTTGAGCTTTTTATACAGATCTCACTATCCATTGGTGAATTAATTCACCATAAACTTTTGATTTATTTGAAGTTAATAATCAAAATATACAATGTGTAAAACATATTTTGGTAACATGTTTCATTTCTAGTTTAATACTTTTGACAAGCTTAGACAATACATTTAAAACACTTACAGTTTAACTGTATAACTAATTGATTCTCTATCTTCTTCACAAATCCTAAATAATTTTTGTCTATTATCAATGATGATGAAATTAAATTCATCTCTTTGTTGTATATGTTTACACAAATTTATGTTCATGTCATAAATGTGTTGATATCATGAGTTTTCAACTAGTTTATTTTAAGAGTAATATTTTTCCAATTTTAACCTTGCATAATAGACGAATATATTGTTTATGGTGTGCATAGACACAAAAAGGCCTATCCTAGTAACCTAACCTAGTCTTAGAAATGATGAAAGATGGAGTGAGTGCAGTGTTCAATCCTTTTTTTTAAAAAAGAACTATTTAAAAAAAAGGATTTAACCTAGTCTTAGCCATAATTATTATTCTAGTAAAAATTCATATATTTTAAAAAGCATATATTGCCCGTGGATAAAACAAATTCAGATAAACAAAATGGTATGTTTTATGGTATGTTAACATGGCATGTTAATATGAAGTACAAAGGTAAATGTAGATAATAAAGTTAATTATTCAAATATTAACATAAACATAAAATATTTTATAAGACGTCAATCAATTTGCTTACATATCTGTTTTACTTATTTTTCAGAACACTATAGAGTAAATTAAAAAATGAGTAAAAACAAACATATTACTGAAAACATTGGAAGCAGATGAGATAAGTAACATAAAAGCCCATACGACAGGAATTGGGTCACAGCTCATAATGAGAATGTTTATTTTGGAATCTAGTATTTTACCTATTGACAATATATGTAACACAATAACTTGGCTTAACATTTTTTCTCAATATACTACTTGAAAGTTTGGTTAATATTATAAAATGTGAAATCTCATTTTGGTCAATTTCATGTAGCAACTTTTTATCAACACAATTTCTGATTTTGCATATACAGTATTGACATTAAAATATTAATGTATAATGAGTATACGGTGTCAATGTGATCGACAATGAGGTTTCATTATCTGATCAAGTATTATTCAATTGTTTAATATACTACCTGTTATACACATGATTAGGTCAAGATATTGGTAAATTTGAAAGAAATAAAGAAAAACTTAACTCATTAGACAATCATCCATTAATGTTATATAGACAACGTTGAGAACAAAATTGTGTAACTGTGAGATGATTTAAATTCCTGCATATACACTGAATAAATTATTAAATTACCATCGTGTTTATAAAACAGTCAAAATTGCAGAGTAAAGAAATGTCTTGTTCCTGTCACTGATATTAATTTTCAATAATTTTTTGAGGTTACACGGTTTAAATCCTTTTGTTTAAAAAAAAATGTATATAAGTGTGAAATGATTATTACAATAATAAAATATTTTATGGAACAAAGTTAGAAGCAGCAGATCAGCACTCATGCAAATAAGCTACAAAATAGCAAGGAAGCTGCTGACACACAAAGAGCATAGCAAATATACAAAATGAAAAAAAAGACAATAAATGTGTATTTTTTTATTAATATCATTCACTCTGAATAAGAAAATATTGAGATAAATAAAATAACATCTTACATGCATTTTAAATAATATATATATATATATAATATAGATATATAATATTACATGTACATATATACAAATATTAAATGGAAAGAATGGATTGTGTTTCATGTGTGAAATGATGCCGGATAATAATTTTATCGATACGTTCTGTGGACATATCCCATTTTTGTTATTTATTCTAAGGAATGACTTTTAATTTATTTTTTATTTTTATTTTTTAAATTTTTTAACATTTATCAATTAGTTATTAGAAAGAATCACATTATAAAAAAAGTAAATAACACTGTCAAAAATGTGTAGAGAGTCTAGCAACTTTAAAATTTAAATTTGGACTATAATGCTTGTTACTTATGTTTTTTAATATAGATATATTGATAAGAGCTACTTCTTCAACCAACTATTTGTTCCAATTGATAAATCATTAATGTTAATGAAATATAACATCAGTATGAATATTTAAAAAAATCCTATAATAATGTTAAACTGTACATGAATTTTTAATATTTAAATGATATAATCTAAAGTTGGATCACCAGTTATAAGTTCGCCATCACGTAAGCTCCAAAATACAAAAAAAGTTGATTGCATGAGATATTTCTGTATTTCATACACCGACGCATAACAACCCAGTGAAAGTATTATTGTGTGTTGGTGGAATAAATAATCATAATAATACAGATGTGTACATCAAATCAATAATATAAACGTAAGTTACTTTGAACTTTGGGGCTATCGGATCTCTTTGATTATTTAGTAGAAGTCTTTTTAGCGTATCTATACTTACATATACTTCTTCCCATTGACTGACATATCTGACCAGCCTGGACAGCCTCAGCAGACGGACAAGAGACAATAACTTCGCTAATCGGAGAATCCTCAAAGCTCGACCAGCATGCAGTATTTGGAAGCTCTCACTGAAGTCCTACAACATTAATTTTACTAACGTTTAAAATTTCCATTTTTTAAAAATAAAAATAAAAGTATATATAAATCAGAATGCAGCTTAACTCTTTATTGTAAAAAATCACATTAAATGGTACTATTGCCAATGTTGAAAAGAAGATACATGAAATAATATATTATAACAAAATTACAAAGAATTGTGTGAATTTTCATAAAATGTATTCCAAAAAAGAATAGCTGGAACTATGCATATTAAAAAAAAAAAAAAAAAAATGTTCGATATAATGCCTTCACATGATCAAAAGGTAGGTCTGTAAGTACTAAACTATGTTTATAAAGATTATGTTTTAGGATTTCCACAGTAAAGTAAAAGCAAAACAGTGAAATGAAATCGATTACTAAAGTGGCCCTCCATGGCAATAAGATCCCACATATCTAAGAGGCTGGCGAAATGGCCAAACCAGCTGACCTCAGGTTTAAGGTTTCCAGGATTATCTCAATTTTTAGGCATAAAGTCTTAAAGGCATCTGAAATGTATGAGCACTAACTTGTAAGTGCAATATTTAAGTAAATGATAATATTGCCACAAACCACTCGAGAACTTAATTTATTACATCATAATACATGATGTCGAATAGAACTGTATGTCAACTGTAATGGATAAACTCATTTGGTAGTGGAAAACCTTATAAGCAAATTAAATGAAAGTGACATCTATCCTAAGGCTATTCAAAAGATATCACAATAATTGGAAGAAAATTTGCTACAACATTGCTTGAGCTAACCAAAAGATCGCTCAACATTGTAGAACATTGTTCAAAACTGGGGCCTCGAGGTTAACCCAGCCAAAACCTTTTGCTTTAACCTCTAATACCTTTTGCTATGATGAATTGTGTTCAAAAACAAGATTTAAAAAAAGTTCTAATGGCCACCACAAACCTTAGGTAAATCTTGGGGACAAAAACCAAAAGTTAGCACATACAATTTCTTTTAAAGGATAACATTTCAATATCACATTCACATATAAAATAAAACGGCTATAAGGTGGTCATTTTATTGCTCTTACCACACTACGGAAACGTGATTTAAAGGCTTCCTTGATAGGTAAACCACAAACGATCCGTAATGTAAGGATGAGCTCTAAAACAGTCATCAGTAGGCTTTGTGGAAATAGCCTAGTCTCTAGACATCCCGTATCAGGTTCTCTGGAGAGGCATCGAGAAGAAACACGACTATTGGCAAATCAACATCGTGCTTAGCCACTTGGGAGGGCAGTTCTTTTCACTGATGAATGTCCGTTTGGTTTGTGGCAAGTATATGATCGGGACCGATTGTGGAGAAGATATGGAGAACACTTTGCTTCATGTGCCATGCGTATATCATAACCTTCAAAGACAGTCAGTTATTGTATGGGATGGATCAATGTCCATGCCCGTACCGATCTGATTATCATATAGAATGTATCTTTAATTGTACTAAGGTACATTCTTCAGTTTTTCTAGAAGCTGAGGTCCCATTCGCTCCATTTATTGGGGACAACTTAGCGGTTATGTATATACATAATGCTCGACCGCATATAGTTCGACTTGTCACCCATTACTTGGAGGATGTAGGGATTACCACAATGAATTGGCCAGCACTTTCTCCTGAAATTAATCCTGTAGAACACTTATGGGACATGATAAAGAGGCCGGTTGAACGTCGTTCAGTGCCTCCAACAATTAACAAGCGTTGAACATTTCAAACCACTCTTTTTGGTGAATGAGATTCTGTTTGTCAAGACAGAACCGGATCGCTTATATATAGGCATATACTAGATGCCTAGCAGACTTAAGGCTTTCCGCGAGGCCTGAGGAGGTAACACACGTTCTTAATGCTCTTAAGTTATATAGTTTTACTCAAACTAGGTAATAAATTGTTAGTTAAATTTTAATCTATCATTAAATGATTTTTGAGATGACTGTTTCGTTGAATTTTCTTTCAAACCATCATAATTAAATAATTTTTATTAAAACTCATGAATTTCTGATCACGTTTAATTTGATTTACATTAAAATAAGTATGTTGAAATTATTATAACGATAAAAATGTATGTAGTTTGAAATAGACAACAAACTTGACGAGTCTCCGGTTTTTGTATTTGAGTGTATAAAGTGCAATTGGATAGTCTTATCAATAATACAATTAATGATGGTTAATGATTAGAAAAATTTTCCTTCCAAAAGGTTATAGTTGAATTAAAATATATTATCTATATAAAAAAAAGAAGGATCTTACCTGATTGAATATCAAAAATATGTAGTCTAGTGGTATCGAACTGATGAGGTCTAGAAAAAACCATGTTTTCAGGTAATTCTTAGCAATTAATTTGGGATCTAATATTACTTGCTCCGCATTATCTTGTTGCATTATCCCTAAAAAAGGAAACATTAAATTTAGTGATATGCATATATAAAACATAAAATATAGATTGTTAATTTGTATTTTATGAAGCTACAATTAACCGAATCAAGAAATAATGTGTGAAGAATTTAAGCCTTCACCTGCCTAAATTTTAAAGGAAACGTTCTTAATTGCACACCATTGCAATTGGAATTGCTGTGATTGCTGGTGCTAAACTTAATCTCCAATGGGACCTTGTTAAGTCCTACCTTAAAAGGATTCGAAGTGTACTCAACCTGAGGAGTGGGCAATCAGAGTGCTGCATTCTTCGAATGTGTTACCCCATCCCAATCCTCGAACCTAGGTTTTCTGCTTATATTTACAGTCTTGGATGATCTTTCTATTGTCATAAGTTTATAAGACATGTGAGAGGGTAAGTTAAATAGCAAGAAATTCATGAAATTTGGCGAGGAGGTAAACATTTTTTTTGCACCTCACAAAACCTTCAATGAAAAGTAAAAAAAAAAGCTAAAATTACCTCCTACTAAAACGGTGATAACTTTAAAAAAGTCAATCAATCCACAGGGAATATTACAAGAAGATAGAGCCCTACAACCTACACGAAATGACCCAAATGTGGCTCCGTAAATGAAGTAGAACTTTAAAAATAAAATATTTGAGAAGATTTTGTTGATTTCATCTCTAATTTTTTCACTTGATCTTTGTCAGATCTTTGCGTCTTTTGATTTTTGTAACATTTTATGTATCTAATCTCATTTAATCCAATCCTGCTTATATTTTCTTATCTTACATAAAAACACAAACTAATCGAATAATTTTTAATAACATATATGATTATGCACAACAAAGGTAATCAATTACATAAAAAAATTCGTGACATGATAAATTCATGATGTTAACTTAAATAAGTCCGAAAATAAACAGATAAATAATTTAAAACGTTGACTGCTGCTGTCTCATACGAGTGAGACAGACCTCTTTGTTAATATCAGAAGGTCCTTCTCCATTTTCTGTTTCAGTTAGAGCATTGCTATTTGGAATCTAGTCTCAGTCTTTGTCAAATCAACACTAGCTCAAATTGCTTCGGAACAATGTTTTAACTTCGCAAGGTTTTATCATTCAAAAATTGTGTTTTTTAAGTAATTCCTCGTTCATAATAACAAAATTATTAAGATTATTGTAATAATGGTGAAATAATTGGAATTTTTTCATTTATAATAACTTTAAAAAAATCCTTTTCAACAAATTGTTTGGAATTCTTAGTGCGCATTTGAGCACCTGCATTTTTTTATTTTCACCATTTTTGTATCTTACAGACCCTAAAAAAAGATGAATGATGGAGTGAGTGAAGTGTTAAATCCTTTTTAAAAATTGTTTGCCCGTGAAGAAAATTTTAACTGTTGTTGAATGTCTTTCAAGACTCACCTATGTACAGAATTATCATTCTGGTGCTGGCGTCTCACACGTGTTAGACAATGCACTATTTTTAAAGAGTTTTTACTTTAATAATGAAGTGGTGTCTTTTATGACTTGTTAGATCAGAATGTAAAAAAGAAAATTTGCCCCTGGACGGTTTCAGAATTTGGGGTATACCAGACAACATATTAAGTTTGTATTAAAATAAATATTTATGTTCATTAAGAATTAAGAATAAAGCGTTAAGAATAAATAGCAATAATGCAGGTTTATAGGTTCCAGCTATCAATGTCTACAATACAAAATTTTATTATATTTAATAACCCGAAAAGTATCTAATGATCGATTATTGAAAACAGTTGTGATATTTTTAAATATTTTTGTCGACGGCCACTAACAGCGGACCACGCGGTAAGACAGTCATGGCCGGTATATTATGGAGGGTCGTAAAATTCAGTAAATAATGAACGGTTTGAGAATTTGATAGACCGACGCCAATTGATAGTCCCAAATGAAATATGAGAAATGTACAAAAAGACCGGCAGTATAAAATGTGAGATTGGTACTTGTGTGGATTAGTCGGACGCAGCACACATCCCAATAGCTCCCGTGGGTTTTTCCACGGTTCCACATATTTCACCAGTACCGCTCAATTTGTGGTTCGAGTCATTTTTGTATTTTTGTTGCACTTCATTCGCCGGTTTGTAAACGCCACGGCTTATTTATATTAGGCGAAACGCTTAGTACTTTTTTTGGCAAATTAATATTGAACGGGGAAAGGTATTTGTATGTGCCTTCAATTTTTAGCTTCATCAAGAAATGACGGTTTACACAAAACAACAAAGTGACCATATAGACTTTAGAGAAGAAGTCGGTTGTTTGAACGATCTGTAAATATGGCGACGTTTCTTTTATTTTCTGAAAATGTTTTTACCATTATTTTTAACAGTAGTAAAGAATTATATCTTTCCTTTAAAAAAATACTTTAAATTTTTTAGTAGGTATTTATTGTTTTGGGTGAGTTGTTTTCTCTATACCTCTTCGTAAGTTTGTTCAAGATAGTTGGTAGTATCGTAGCGCCACCGTACAGTGCTACCTACCAACTGTATCCAACAATTTTTGGAAGCTCTGTGTTTGTAAAGTTATTAACGATAGTTGGGAGTATTGTAGCGACGCTACAGCACTACCTTATGACGATATTCAAAATTTTTTAGAACCTCTGGTTTTTAAGGTTATTAAAGATAGTTGGGTGTATTGCAGCACCACTCTACAGAACTACCTGACGCCAGCTATTTTTGGAACCTCTATAAGTGTATATTTTTTCAAGTTAATTGGCAATACTCAGCTCTACTTGGTGGTTGGATCCAACTATTTTATGAACCTCTATGTATTTAATGTAAGATAGTTTGGAGTATTGTAGAGCCACTGTATAGCTCTAAGTAGCGACTGGATCCAGCAATTGTTGGAACCTATGCGAACGTATAGTTTTTAAAGTTAATTGGAAATATTGTAGCGCCACACTACAGCGCTACCTGACGATTGAAGGCCCTAACTTTTGGAGCCTCTGTGAACGTAAGGCGACTGAAATTAGTTTTAGGTGACCTACGTTTACGTCGCTTCGTTGTATGTACCTGGTGAATGGATTCAACAACGATTGAAATCTATTGGTTTGTAAGGTTATTATAATTTTTTTAAATGTAAATTATATACATTATAAGTAAGTACTATTATCCTATTTTAATAAATATATTTTAGTACAGAGCTTAGTTTAAGTTTATACCTATAATTGATGGATAATTTAACCTACCCAACGCTCTCGTTAAATATTGGCAATTTAAATTGTTTTCCATTAGTTCTCCAAACACAAATTTTTTCGTGTGAATAAGTCATCGATCGGTTCAGATTTTCGTTTAGCCTGATTTCAAAATAAATAAGGATTGTATTCACGAATGTATATGTAGATTGCTCATGTCGTCATTTAAAATAAAAATCTGCTAAAAACTGTTACATTTCTTAATTAACTGCTGATTGCTCAAAGTTTCTAACATAAACGTTGCCAGAGCAATAGAACCGTTGAGTTTTATTTTTGAGATGCAGCGTTATGAGCAGTTTCTTATTATAGAGAATCGAGAGAGTGGCAGGTGACAGGCATGCACGCCAAACACGCGATTTGAGAAAGAAACTCAAAGATCCTCCACGGACTTCTCCATTTTGGCCCTTTCACTTCATGTCTCATAGTTTTCCCAAGTTTCTCTAAATCTTATTACTGTATAGAAACATTCAGTTATTAAAAATGTCTTCAACGAGTCAAAACGTTTTACTTTATTTGTCGAACATATAATGTGATATTTGATTTTGTTAATCAACTAGTATTCGAATTTTAGGTGTTTCGCTAGGAAACGAATTTCCACATCTGTGAGGGTTAAAAGGATAGTAAGTATTAATAAGATTTGAGCTTTCATTGAAAATGATTGCTCTCGCCTTTTTAGATAAATTAGCCAGGAGGGCAGATTTATCTAAATCTATTTAGCAAACGAGAGCAGCAAGAAGCAATAACGAGATATCAGAAAATATCGATCCATCTAGGAATTTATAACAGAAATAAATATAATTATAAAGTCAATGAAATATCGAGGAGCGGATGTTAAAAGCGAAGATGCTTGCTTAATCGCATGGCTAAGTCGTTCCGCCTTCGCAAAAATCATGTGTATCAAAACAGAAATAAAGAATATAATTTAAATAATTACAGATATAAGATTTTCTTAGATAAAGGTTTAATGAATAAAGGATGAGCGAGTCAGAACTCGGGAGCACTTGGTGGGAATGATGGGGGTTCCTTGCCTCTCAATTTATATACTGACCGATGTATATATTACATTTTCCTAGTCATCTGACGTATTCAACAAGTCGCCTGTAGAAATCTGTACAAAAGCAGTCGTATCCGAAGTCCGAGAGATCCAAACCGACTCGGAAGCTTATATGTATATTAATAGTATAGTGTATCACTCCTTTATTCTGAGTGAAGTTTTAAATTTGTTTTCATGGATTTTACTACAACGGAAAATGAGATGTCAGTACCAGACAAATACCCGGTTTAATCATTTTAATCAAGAAGCTTAATGACGTTCTTTCTGCAGCTGACGTTTTGGAATTAGCTGCATGAATTGTTTAAAAAAAATATATGTACATCTGAATAAGTCCTTTCAAAACCTAACTGCTAAAGAATGAACAAAAATCTTCAGCCTTTTAAAGTCTCTTAAAATGAACATTTAAACGCAATCAGTATAGTGTATAATTATAGTGGCGTAACATTTTTTTTAAATTTTGGAAGACAATTGTGAAACTTAACATTAACAATTTTGTCTTTTACTCTTACTAAATGGGGCTGTAAAAATGAGATTAACTTCGCTTAGTAATTACGTGCATAACGAACGGCATAAAATATTGCTCGATAAGTATCGAAGTCTAATATTTTAGAATTTACGTAATACTATGAACTTTTCCTGAGGCGATTTGGAACCGGGAATCATTGTGATATAATCTTGCCTTTGGTACATTTTTACAACATAACTGTCTGTTATTTCAACGATGGTTT